CCCCGCCCAAAAAAACCCAGGGGGAAAACAGGACTAGCAGTTGGAAATCCTACCATATCCTGGTTTTTGTTTCCTCTCTTTTTTCTTTTCTTTTAGGGCCTAACACAGCCCACAGAATCTTAGAGGCTGAAAAACTGATCACTGACCATCTGCAATTGCCCACTCCTACCATAGTACAAATATGGGGAACCTTTTGCAGCTTGAGGGCTGAACTCTTTTTCAAAGAAATGTATAATGTTGTGGCTGACTGTGCATGTACATGTCTTCAAATTGCTTGTCAACTTAGGGTGATGTGATGAATTTCATAGGGTTTGCTTAGGCAAGGAATACACAGAGGTGGTTTTGCCTGTTCCTTCCCCGAAATGTACACACACTAAAACATGAATTGTTGAGATATAAGTAGCAATCTCTTGCCTCCTTTATTGCAATACTTTACTGGCCCTGTATATAGAAGTTCCTCCATTTTTCATGTTTATCTGCTTTATCTCCCACCTTTGTCTGACTACCTTTGAGGCTGAACTTTTCACCCCATCCCATACCAACAGGTTTTGTGTTTCTATTGCAGTTTACAATCCCCTCCATCCCACTTGTAGGTGCATATGTCTATCCACAGAGGCTTCAAGCTATGCTCCTGATGAAGTAGAGAGGCGTCCGTGAAAGCTTATGCTATAAATTTATTTTTCTTCATTAGTCTCAAAGGTGCTATAAGATTCCTTCGTATTTCTTTATGTTGCAACAGGCTAACAAAGCTATGCCATGAAATACTACTATAATTTCAGTTTTGAGAGCTCCATTCCAGAGCCAAAAAATGCCAGCCTATTCTAGCTGAAAGTTGCCTTGAGAGAGGTGTTCCAGCTTTCAGCTAGAATAGGCCGTTTGGATGGGTGAGGATCATACATAAGCTGGAAACCACCAAATGATAGTATCACGGGAAGGAGATGTGACCATTTCGAAACCCATAGGGCCACTTTAAGACTAGAAAAGGGCCAGATTCAGCCTCAAGTCGTGAGCTTCCCCACCTCTGTATTAAAAGGAACCTGAAACCAGCTGGAATTTGATGGTATAATATTGTCCTGCTTTAACAGGCTGAATAATAGACAATTCAAATAATTTAATATTATAGGTACCTGGTACTTTCACTCATTTAGTTAATCCCTTTGTGCTTTTTGACAGAAATTGCCAGAAAAAAAGTGCTTTGAATAAGTGATCCAAGATGAACAAGCAGGAATCAGCTGGTTTAAGCGCTAGGAAAAACCTTCATACTGTACAGGCTGGGAAGCTCTGGGGGAAAAACATGCAGAAGAGCCAAGAGGACGACACCACCAACTCAGGCGTACATGGCCTGCATTTCAGACAGTTCCGATACCAGGAGGCTGAGGGTCCCCGGGAGGTTTGCAGCCAACTCCATGCTCTCTGCCAGCGATGGCTGAAGCCAGAGCAACACACTAAGGCTGAGATGCTGGACCTGGTCATCCTGGAGCAATTCTTGGCTGTCCTTCCCCCAGAGATGGAGAATTGGGTGAGAGAGTGTGGAGCAGTGACCAGCTCCCAGGCGGTGGCCCTGGCAGAGGGTTTCCTCTTGAGTGAGGAGGAGGAGAAAAAGGAGAAAAAACAGCAGGTGAGAGCAGTTACTCCTGGTTATTTCAAAGAGCTGAAAATATTTCAAAGAATACAGTGTTATCAAGTTTGCCCATTTTTTTCTGGCAAGTATCAATAATGTTCCACCCTTCAGGCCTTGTCATATAAATTTGTTTTTCTAATCTGCCTCCCTCCCCTTTCTGATTGCTCTTTCTCGTGCAGGTCTGCCTTGTGGAAAAGGACTCTGAACTCCCTAAGAAACAGAAGTCTCCATCAGACTCTGGACAGAAGCTGCTGCCCTGGGGGATCAAAGAAGAGCGTGATGGAGGGGTTCCTGTACTGAGTAAGGATCCATAGGGTATCCTTCACCCTTGTAACATCTAAAAATAGTTCTTGTTTGCTTTTAAGTTGGCTCCATGTTATGGCAATTCTTTCCTAGGGCTTACTTCACAAGACATATTCGGAGAAGGTTTGCCATTGTCTTCCCCTTAGGCTAAGAGGATGTGACTTGCTAAAAGTTAAGCAGTGGGTTTCCATGGCTAAGGGGGAATTTGAACCCTGGTCTCCCAGAATCCTAGTCCAGCACTCAGTTCACAATGTCACAGTAGCTCCTTATTCTCTACTAACTACCAGGCCTAAGACTGAGGCACCCAGTGGGTTTTGTGGCCGAGCTGGGAATCAAATCCTGGTCTCTGGTGTTGTAGTCCAACACTCAAACCACTATGCCACTCTGACTCTTACTTGTGGTTTAAAGTAGAGATGGGAAACCTTTCCAGCCCCTCACCCTCTATTGTAAAAGGGAGGAAGAAACTTGTTTGGTCAAAAAATAGAGAATCATGCTCCAAGAACCCTCCAGGAACAGGTGATTCTCTCAAATTAAAAAAAATCCACAGTTGCCTATACTATTCTAATACTGATAAGAGAGCCAGT